CATCGAACGCTGTCTGGAAATTCCATCTTTCTAGTCCATCACTATTTTTGTTTCAGACGGTAGACTACATGAGGAAATTATCTCGCTTGCTTATTTCCCTTTAAAGATGGGCGTGGCTTTAAGCCTTTTTGTTCAGGTTTATAGTCAGAGTATTCTTTAAAATAGATTTGTTTCAACGGTTCTAACCAACCCTGATACCACTGCCCTCAGCCTATACAGCACAGCTTAAGAAGCGTGGTGTTTGTGGAGTCATTACTTGATTGTACATTATGCATTTATATAATATTAGGCTTATAATAGCCGCATTATTTGTTTTCAGTGGAAAGCTTTTTGTTTCCATATGCTACCATCTTAATTTTTAGCCTATGCCACATTGAACACTTGCCAAACGGGGAAGCGTGTAATGCTAAAGTGTGTCATTTTAGGGAATGCGTCATTAGAAGGTTATGCAGAACTTACCACATCCGTTAAGCAATTGGAGATAAAAGATGACGATGTCAACAACAACAAACAATCAGAGGAAGCGTCAAACACATTCGACAGCGACGAATCTGAGTACGACAAAGCGAAGGAGCTGCCTTCCAGCGACGACGACGAGGCACCTGTGCATTTAGTGAGTACACTACGTGTTGTCAGTGCAGTGCAAACTTTGTTTAGTATTGCGCATTGCCGTGTGTATGTATTGTTGTGCGAATTCACGTAGACGCAGAGCAGTTTTCGTAAATACCGTAGTTTCGGTTCTGCGTCATTTTTCAAAGCTGTGTCTTCTGGGTACTGCTCAGGTTTGCATTGGTGGAAAGAGCTTTGTTTGTAGTGGCTGTCAGCACTTTTGGCTGTGAAAATCTTTCTGATGACGCCACTGTTGAGAGTAGATTTGTGGTTTGGCAGTGTATGTTTTGAGCTTGTACACGTCGTTGTTGTCGAATTCTTGAATCTTCAAGGGCTGCAGACCGTTTCGATTCAGAATTTTTATATTTTTACACGTTTTCTGTTATTCATGAGTTTTTCGTAAGGTTGATTATGGTTACATCGCTATCAGTGAGAAACTCAGTCATTAGAGTGCCTGACTGGGAATCAACAGATTGCTGGTTAGAATTCAAGCTGAATGATTGGTCTTGTTTCACCTAGTTAGGTGAATATCTGCCACTACAATTTAGGAGATATCATGGCTCTAGCTGATTTCAAGCTGCAGGAAGAAGGTGAGAAATGTTTGCTCGAGAAAATATAAAGAAGTGCCGTTTAAGCTATCAAATGCTGAACTTTAGGAAGAGTGTTACTTAAAAAATTTGTTTGGTGCTGTTTTTAAGAATTTACTAATTAAGTGTTGTTTTATTCTATTTTTGAGGTTTTCTTCCTTTCCCACTTTTGTCAGTTGGTTTCCTTGATTCCTTCAAGTCATGGATCCGGTTTCACGATATCTAAATGTTTACTTCATTGGAGACTTCATTACTAGCGTCTGTATCTGGAAGTTTACTGCTTAAAATGGATCGCCTGAATCCTCCTTTCATGCATGAGAAAAGATATGAAGCTGCAAATTAAAGAACAAGTAACTGATATAGGGTTGAAAGCAACCAAAGTTACGAATGGAACTGTTCAAAACTGTCATTGCCCACTTGCTAAACAGTTGTCAGTCAGCCAAGAAACTATCTTCAGGGTTTAATTTCTGTATGTTACAGGGAAGCAAAATATGACGTTTCGCAGCTAAAGTAGATTATAACATGAACGTCAAAGTGTTAACAAAAAATGAAGAACGTTAGTGTTAAGTGTGACAGACCGAAGGCTGACAGTGTCTGAGCCGTAATCTCAGATTAAGCTTGCTCCTTCACGAAACTGTGTTTACAGTACTTAAAGTCTTGTCCTGTCAGCAATTGAACAGCGATCTTGCCGTCATCCGTTCAGCAGTTGGGAGATGAACACGAATTGAGCTGATTCGAATATGAAATGAGATGATGTCATTCATTCGTCACCGACATTAAAATAACTGAAAATAATTCGTGAATTCTGTGCAGTAAATTGCAGTAACAAATATTTTCTCCTATCGTATGATTTTGATTTTTTTAGCAGTTGACTTGTGCTTGTGGTTTTGACCGGCCTTGTCTAATTTAGAAAGGTTGTGTGGTAGAGGAAGTTGATCGCAGCGATCCAGCCTTCGTTCCGAAGCGCGGTGGCTTCTATCAACACGACTTGCGAGTTTTCGACGAATCAGCACAGTACGTAACGCACATGGCGATGCTCGATTGTTTCACATGTTCTGTAGGACTCAACGTGTACCTCGAAAGCAGCATTGGGACGCCAAGTCTTCGAAATGGCAGCATGACAAATTCGATTTCGAGGAACAAGCTCCAAAGACTAAATACGAAATAGTTTCACAGTACGGCTATGATATCAGAGATGACAACAAAGTGCCACCTCCTGGATTTCGTCGCCGATACAAGTATTGTATACAGCGTGCTTGCACGTCGACGATCTGAACATTTGCTTCAGAAATGAATTTTTAGCCGTGGTGGTAGGGATTTCATCAAAACCGGAGGATGGGGTAGACAGGCGAGCCCACCGTTCGATTCTTCAGAGCTACGGAATCACTCATACGAACCGTACGCTGACGCTGATTATGACAAAACCAAAACAGCACCTGTACCGTCCTGTGAAGCTGACCAGCAGCACAAAGGTAACGAGTTTGTCCGTACCAAGAATGCAACAAGTCCATTGGCTCGGGAACGACATGAAGTTCGTGAATCGGCATCGACGTCAGATCAAACTTCCGACTACAACTGTTATGACAGCCGAACGGCGCAAGCACTTTCTCCGACCAGACGAAATGCACCTGAAATTTATCCAGAAAGACCGGGTAGCTTTTACAGGAGGTACGGTTTCCATTCAGATAGCGAGTACGTTTGCCCGCTTGATGTTTAATTATCATGCACTTACAATTTGTCTGGGCGAACATCTAGAGTTTTCTTGTTGTGTGTTGTCTAACCGTCGACGTTCAATAGCTTGAGCGTAAACCCAGTGGCATAAATTTTAATTCAAGGACTGATTTTTTGAAATTTGACATAGATACTGCTATTCATCACACTGAGCAGCGTTAATAGTGCTAGCGTTGAAATTGAACCTTGCTCCATGTAAATAAGCGAGCTTCGAGTGGAAAATGAATAAGAAGGAAGTATTTGTCTGACCACTGAGGAAATCCTGATTACCCACTCTTGTCTTTGTTTCGAGGAACGTGTGAAACAGTCAGACATCTGAAACAACTGTTGCATGGAAGCAGAGGAACTTAGCTGTTCACGTAATAAAAATTAATTATCCGTTAGGTTTCACCCCGTCTTCATTCGGCATATGCGGTGTTATTATCGGTTATTATCGAATTAACAGCCTGAACAGTGGTCTTCTGTGATTAAATAAAATGTTTCTGAGAAGTACTCCTTAGAATGTTCGCAGTTGTGCTTTCTGACAAACTAAAATGAAAATGGGTACTTTTCTTGCCATTGGAAAAAGAAAGCGACACAGTAATTGTGACATTTTTTTGGTTTTTGCCTTGTGCTGATTATCACATGGATATTCAGCCATCTTGCGGCTCAAGGCGAAGAGAATTATTTTACATCCGTAAAAGCGCCTCACCGGGAGCGTGACCGTACTTCTCGCCCATTCTTGTATGATTACACTAGAACACGATGCTCTACGAGTCGCTACCAGTTTTTCGACTGGTAAGAAAATTAGCGGTTAGGCGAATTTTCAACGTGATTTGAACTCAGCATCTCTGAAGTTCACAGCGGACTTTGTACCAGTTTACACCCTTGATGAGTATAAAAAGAAATCCATGTGCTACAAGGCTGTAACTGATAATGAGGTATACACCTAAATCCGATGTCTGCATAGAAGAACGGCGACACAGACATACTGTCTGACCTACCAAATAATCTGAAGGTTAAAGAACTACGACTTGAAAAAAAATTGAGAATCAGGCCGCTCATTTAACCAGCGATAGTTACTGTTGTCATTAATACGCGTTGGTAGTCTTCTGACATGAATTCAGGATTTTATGCTCTTGTTCAAGTCAGAATACACCTGGAGGTAGCAAGGCAAGGAGGTTAACTTTTTACCTCATAGCTACTTTATCCGGACGTTTCCGCATTCGTGACTGTTCTCACGGTTTCTGTATCGGTAACAACTGTTTTTTTGTCGTCGACTGCTAAACAAAGAATGAGCCGTAGGGATGCCCAAGTTAGTGATGTTTGACATGGCTTGTTTGGGCGCCTGAAATTTAAGTAAATTGCTATTGTTCTTTTGGCATTATTCTTGAATAAGAGATGAGATGTTTCATAATAAGCGCTGACTTCTCATACATTTATAGACTGACTTCATAACAGAAATTCGAATGGATATTCATAGTTTTTATGAGTGTTTTGTGTCAGGCCATGTCATGTGCCTTTGTCTGAATTCTGTTAGTTTTGCCGAACCGATGGTTTTCAGCATTGGTTTCCATGATGTCATGGTACGATCACAGTTTAGACGTGTTCAGCAAACAGCGTTGCTGAATGTGATGCAGTCAAGCTTCTTTGTTTCGAGATAGGTGTTTAATTGTTTAATACCTATTTATCGATTCCTGTATTTGTTCTGCTTTGAGAACTGACGATATGGAAAAAATATTCATTTCGTTTAATGTTTTGTCTTTCCATTTCGAAATGTTTTATGAAATTAACTTATGCCAATCCATTACGATCGTTGATTTCTGCATCACTATAATGGGCTTCAAGCTACGGTATCGGCAAGGCTTTTCAGAGATACGTTAAATGGTCTACCTCGGCCGTTGTAGCGTTCCACATGGTCTTTTAGTCATCAGACCTCATGTGACCTTCGTGTTTTTAGAGTGGACTGCAACAGTCCTGTTGACATTTTCAAAGTGCGTGAGTTAACAGCTGGCTAATGAGCTGCTATAAGTTGCTGCTTGTATTTAGTGTGCGTAATATTGTTTTCAGTTTTCGGACGTAAAACTTTCAGCGTTCGTACTCTGATTTTCTTCCAGTTGCACTGTGTCGTTTTCACGGTGTCATTGTTGTTGGCGATGAGCGGCTGCGTCGTGACTTTACTGCACCGGACGCTGTCTACGACGCCTTTGTGATGAACGGTTTACATTCTTGCATTTTCTCAGGGCCAGGTCTGAGTATAGGTTTATTGCGGTGACCGAGCCGAGGAAAGCAAACTCACACAAAAACGAGACGATACAATATAGTGAACAAATGACAAAATTTTGAGTTTATATACGCCTTGACTGGCGCGTGGCAGATAGCGGTCTGATAGGTATCGTCACCTAGAGTGCATGATTGGATCCGATTATGCGGCGATGTGTGATCGGTTAGATCATTACGTACAAAGAGAGTAGTCGATTGCGCCAATGAGCGATCTCCTGTGATCGCTCGTAACATATCCGCAGAGCAGTTCGAACCGTTTTACCAGGAAATCTGACCTGCAGAAGCTTGGCAGTTGCAAGGAGAAGCTCTTCATTAAGGTAAACCAGGTTAGCGACGAGGAATGTAACCTTTGCCGCTGCGGCGAATGTTGTCTGATGTCAGTCCGAGGTTCCATTTCTGAACGTCAGACATCATTCAAATGGGTTATTCCGCTTTTTAAGTTCTATTTACTACAGATGATGATGACACAACAGTAGCAACACCCTCTAAATGATGATTCATCGGCATCGAGAAGCTCATTTATGACTTATTATGGTTGACACACTCAGCGGATTGCCTGCTTCCATAACATAAACAAATAAAGAA